CCCGACATAAGCAACGGACGTGAAACCATGAGAGAACAATTTTGTATACATAATACGAATTTTTACATCCAGATTATTAAGTGATCACGGGAATTAAACTATTAAAAAAAAAGTAATTAAAAACATGTGTGAAAACGTTCTGAATTCCCAAGCAAAAACGTGTTTTTGAGTGAGTATGCTATTTTCATAAAAATAATGGACCAAGTCAATAATTCAAAAACTAGATTTGGGAATGACGTAAAATAAACTAATTAAATAATCCGATTTCATTACAAGTACGGACGTTTCTTGTTTTTTTTTCGGTTTACGTCAAATATTGTACGGAACCATTGGTACCTATATACCTATATATTTTAACATAATAATAATATTATTTATTTAACACTATAATACATTATAGTAATTTCGTTCTTATTGGTACCTATATATATAATACGTTCTCAAAAAGCTTTCGATTAGATTTGTAATTATTTTCGATTAAACGGCTTGAGTGAATCTCGTTTTATTCAAAACCTCGACTTAGAAATGGTGTGTAATATATAATACAGTTAGAATATCTAATTCGTGTGTTAATTAATTTTGGCTCAATCGTTCAATATTTTCGAGTGAAAAAAAAAATAAATTATAATGTTCACCTTATGTAACACAATATACGAATATTTAACTCCATTGATAAGGTGCGGGCTTATCTTGTTCGATTTTATTTCATGGCTCATATTATTGTATATTTGAATGGCTATATTTATTAATTTATTATTATGTTATTAAATATTAGGTATGCGCGTGCAAGCCGTATACATGTGTTAAGGTGTAAATAAATCGTATCTGAATCCATAATATGAATATTATATAGTTTAATTTACACACACTACTGCATCTTTAAGCCGTTGTATACCTATATAATATTATATCAATATGTATAGATAAACATTATATGATGGCGAAGTCGGTGCGAACTTGCCATCTCGGAACGAGTAGAAAGGTTCGGCGAATCGGAGTTTTTTTTTTAAATAAAATATAATAACCCTTTTCTTTTCAACTGGCTTTCTCTGCTGGCCGGTCGTTCGGTAATATTTAAGCTAACGCATATAATATTACAATTTATAATATTATATACATACCTACAATAATAATATACACGTGTATACATCGTAATATATAGAATATATCGGCGTATTATGACTTATGAGGAGCATCTTGAGAACTTTTTTCGCTTGTGTGCTTCAGACGCACAGTGGGTCAACAAATAATAATAAATTTACAAAACAATCGTGGTGGGCGCTTAAAATTATAATAAAAAAGTACGCGAGCAGATACAGTTTTAATAGTGAAGGGGTGACCGGGGAACGAAAAAAAATGACTGCGATGGTTTCGGTTAGTGTGTACTGTCTGACGTCTGTGTGTGTGTCTGTGGGGGAGGGGGGGAGTGTTTTTTCCACGATTAAAACAACAGCTGCTGTTACAGCCGTCGCCGCCACTCTGTGTGCATACACTACACATATTATATATATATATATATGATTATTATTATTATTATATATATCAAAATAATATGTGTACGTACGGTTTGAGCTGCGGCGGCGGCAAAGTCGTCACCGGAAACGCGGGGTCGTTCACCCGGTCCGAGCCGCCTTCCTGTGTTCTACATAACACACACACACACACATCATCATCCCATCCATATTCCTTTTTCTTCGGCCCAACCGGATACACACAATATGTGTGCGTGTGTGTACGTCGCGGCCGTGTGCCTTATTATTAGCAGAATTACGCGCGCGCCTTCCCTCTATTCTATGCCGCCGCCGGATCGGTCTACTCCCACCATCTTTGCAATACGGCGTGTGATATACCGAGAGACGATGCTTAAAAAGTAATGACTGAACAAATTTAAAATGAAAAAAAATCATTTACGTATCGTCCAAAAAATAGTGTTTTTTATTATTTTGTTTTTTTTTTTTGTCACAAATTTAGGTTTTTGGAGCGTTCGACGGAGTCGAGTATAATTACTGCGATAAGTCGTCCTCATACACTATACAGTAAAATATAAAATTATTACCTAAATATAATATAATATATATACAGAGTGTCCCGTGAGGATTTACCTATTAGCCGTAGAGAGGGACTCGTCGCCCGGACAAAAACCGGTTTTTTGCCGTTTTACTTATTAATTAAAAAAATTATTAAAAATCAGGAAATTAATGAAATTAAAATGTTGAAACGTCAATATTTTCAGAAAAATGAACTCTACAAAATGGCAATCTTCAATATTTTTTTAAATAATTAATTAAAAAAATAATTTTTTTAACTTTTTTACCAAAAAAAAAAAAAAAAATAAAAAATTAGTTATTTGTAGTGCTTACCTTCGTGAGTATTAATAAGAAAACAGAATTACGATATCTCTGTTATTTCAGGAGATATCGCAATGAGTAAATCCTCACGGGACACCCTGTATATATATATATATATTAAGAAACTCCCCCTCGTTGTATATTGTTATAAATTATTAAAATAATAAACCTAACGTCGAATCGTGCCTACATGCAAAATGTGTTATTATAAATGTATAACTTATAAGCTGCTAACGTCGTCGAAGAGGAAGACACGTGGTTCTTTCCACCGGAACCAATATCCGGTATTAAATCTATTAATCCGTTCTAAAATCTGCTTAAATCAAAAGAACAATTGTGTTAACGTATACAAACAAATAAAATTAGAAATTTTGAACAGGTAATGTATGTTTAATAAATTGCTTTCGAATATTTCCCTCAATCCCATTTGTAAATTGAAGGAGGAATCCAAATAAATTGTTATATAGCATATAGGTATTACAGTACACGTTTTAGTATTTTGGGGCAGCAATAACCATGTACATTATTTACATTATTATATTATATAATATTATGATGGCAGGGAATAGGGATGTGATCTCGTATATGTACCTAGTACCTAATACCTACAACATAATATTTGCGTCGATATTCCATGGTTTTATGAGAAAAAATGGAGATGAAGAATAGAAGAGGTGAAACATCATCCGAAGGATAATACTACTATATGCTCGAATAATGCGTTTTGGATTATCAATTAGGTTACGTTTTAAAATCTATAAATAAGAATTTATTATATTACATTATATTATATGATACATTATACACAATAATATACAAGGGCAGAGGCGCGGATTCAGGGGGAGGGGGCTATGGGTGCCCTAATAAAATAAATTAGTATTCAAAATTAAGTAATAAAAAATAGAAAAGTGTAACCATTTTTTTGAGCACCCCCAGTTAAAATCTTCTGGATCTGTGCCTGCAGGGGCAGACTTTTTTATATTTTAATTGATTGTATATATAGGTAACCTATATTGTATATAAAATATTATAAATTAATTTTGATACATGTATTATGAGGTCTGATGTGGCGTGGTTGTTGGCCGCAGTCGCTAATGTGTGATGCGATTAAGCCTCGTCCAGTGTCGCCAGCTCCCGGATGGGTGACCTCCCGGGATTTAAGCGACGAAACCTCGCCCCACATACACACGTGTTGCTCAAACCCAACAATAATCCCCCCCTCCATAAAATGCTGATGGACATAGTTGCCGATGCTTTAGACCAATAATAAAAAAAATTGATATATTATTTATAAATTAATGTTATCTTACTTTTCTAAAAAGGTAGGTACATATTCTACATTTCATACGATAATGAATTAATAAACAATTATCAGTTACGATTACGCCCTTACGCCTGTAGGAGATACTGATGCTCCATTTTCCAATTGAACGCATCTTCTATTTTCTTCTATTTACAGCGGAATCGCTTTTTTCAACACGGAAATCACACTACGTTCAAGCGCGATTATCTCTTTCACAAATCGAAATTTTACCGATAAACATTACAAGTATTTTTCATTATTCATTTTTTAAATATTTTTTTTCATTAGAGAAACTTCACATTTTCTATTTAACTTTTTTTGTTTATTAAACTCTTTATTGTCCATAAATTGTTGCTCTACTTGCTGGATTTGGTTTACAATATAATTGAATAAATCCATTTTGTGTAAAATGTATTTATTTGTAATATATTATTAGTACATTAATATGTATAGCACCTATTATCACATTATATTACACTATGAAATAAGTAACATACTATATGTTTTATTTAATAATTTTTAATTAGTGGTTATAATTTATCTCAACAAATTGAGTAGGTACTAATAAAATATTTTTTAAATATATACAAGGTAATTGTTAGTGTAGGTCCACAACTACGGGTCAACCGTTGAACCGTTTATAATTTCCCTGAAAATTACATGGGAGATTGGATTTACTATAATCGGAATAATTCTGCTTTAACTTTTTTCATGATCGTATAAAAATGGAGCCAAAAGCCACATACATCGCTAAATATTACTAAATTACAACTAATATAGTATTATGTATTTATGTGCGTGTGTGTGTTTTCGAGTTTACAATATAAATAATATCGATATTGAAGACAACTTACTGCTACGGGTTTTAACGTTATTTCTATATAGGGGTGTTCGGTTAGAGAAGACATACCTAAAGACTTCAACAAAAATAGGCAAAACGACCATCCTGCGGTCGTTCAACGGTGCGCAGCGGTCACGTGTATCAGTAATGATGTCTTATTAGTTATTGAGTATCTGGGCCGTTAATCATCTCACTTTGCTGTATAAGCACCCAGTAGTCAATAAATATGATAATTGTACGTATAAACGTATGGTGTATACAATAATAGTTATAAATATTACACATTTATAATGTATGTGTATTATACTTCTACTAAACAAAAAAAAGTGTATAAATAAATAAAAATATTTTATATTTTAAACATGCATTGATTAGCACATACAACTAAATTAAAGTCTATAAATAAATTGCATTAAATATAGGATAGGTGAATCAAAAAAAAAAAAAAAAAAATTAATAATAATATGGGTCAGTGTAGGAAAAAAATGACGGGTAATACCTAATGAAGTCAACCGAGTCCCACGTCCAATGACATCATCACGACGAATCCCACGATACAACACCAACTGGCCAGCTTCCCGTTGCCACTGTAACAAAATTAAACACGGCGATTCGATTAAATGGCAACGTGTGTCCGACAAATGACAATGATCGTTTTCGTTGCTCCGGTTTTTCGAACAAGAATATGTTCTAGTGTGAATATAATAATATAATAATATGTTCGCCAAAATTTAACCCTCTGTGCACGCCGGCTTCGGCGGCCAGTTCAAAGGCGATTGTTAAAGTTAAAATATGTTTCTGGCAGCTCTGCAGTAGAATTGTAAGGGATTTGGCAATTTCACAGTAGATGTTCTCCCGGTCAAAAATTAAAAATTAAATTTTTTGTAAATTACTTTTATTGAATGTTGTTATAACTGAACTTGGTTCTACTCCGGTCTTACGGTCAAGGCGCATAGAAATAGCAAATGAATATGTAACCATAGAAATCAAAATACGATGAAACAGATCAACTGCAGTAATATTGAGAGCGTCGGAATAGTTTTAAAAAAGTTTTCGGGGACCGAATATACATGCTAACATTAATTATACAGAGTTTTGTCACTAATAGTATACCTAATTTATTGTTAAATAATACATTTCTGAATTTGTCAATCATTGTATATTTGTATAAGAAATAAAGACACAGTATAACTGAAATGATATAAGCGGTATTATGTATTATAATGATACCTAGTAAAACTAAAAAACGGTATTATATATTTATATTATATTATTATAATATATACAACATTATTCACCAAACATGCTCAACCCTTAATTATTCTTATAACTATGTATTTATTATTTTATTCTAACTACGATATTTTTAACTTTTAAAAATACTTAGTAAAAATCGTATTTTAAAATACTTTTTACACCATTTAAGAAGTATCTATCTAAAATAGGTACCCACTTTTAAAATATACATTTTGAAGCAGTCAGTCTAGATTATTTTTTTGAAAATGTTTATGAAATACATCTTAATTCATACAAGTAATTAATAAGTACTGAGTCTATAATTGTGGTGGCTTAGGCCTTAGAAAATATTGAGGAATGAGGTATATATATTTTTAGCATAAGGTCATAGACTGTACAAAACCATTTTCAGTAAAACCATTTTGAAGGATACTAGTTCAAATTTTGTTTACATAACAGTTTCAAAAAACAATTATCTGCTTAAGGATTTGCAGAAAAAAGTGTGTTTATCATTTCAAAAAGGAAATTTCCATCATCACGGGATTACAGGATTATCCTCTTTCCTTCAATGGAATATTATAAAATCTAAGCATTTGAAAATACTAGTTATACAAGTATATAAGTTAAACTTTGATAAACATCAAGTAGACTTAAAAATTTCAAGAACCAACATTTTAATAAATTAAAAGGATAATATGGGGTGAGCAAATGAGCAATGGACATGATAATAAATAATAATACACTCAATTTTTTTTAACGACATAACAATGGTATCGTCATTGTAGTTTACTATTTCGGAAAGCGAGTAAGCAGCTGCAGCTGCGTGAGCGCAGCGGGGTGATTCGGTGATCGAGGGATGTTAAGATAGAAATTGTATTTCTAATGTATTACAAAAAACGTGTATACAACAAAAAACAAAAGGACCTAATAGATACAGAGACAAGATGGGTACGTCACGTGTTATTTAAACAAGAATCGTTTCCGATCGTTTCTGCAGCACTGCAGTTGAAATTTATCGTTACGATGGCGTGCTAAGATTTTGGAAACGAAACGTCATATCGTCGCGTCGTTTCGGACAATTAAAAATAAGATGCGGGAGGCGGCGGCGTCGGCAGCGACAGCCTCCGCGTTTCGGTTACAAGGCCGCGGCGGTCGGACGAAGTATCGATGATAATAATAATAATATGACGGCGCGGCGGCGGTGGCCCATTCATGACGAACGTCGGCTCGCGTTAAACGCCATAGTAGGCAATAGAGGTCGCGATAGTCGACGCCGCCGCCGCCGCCACCACCACGCGATCGCTTGCTCGCTCTCACTAACGACCAAAGGAATCGTCTAATTGTGCGAGTGTGTGTGTGTGTGTAGCGTAGTTGTACTGCTGCATTCCTGGCGTCAAAGGAGATTGCATATAGAGATTTTACAGTTATATGACCCCCAGAGAGTGAGAAACCATTGATATTATATTATATACGTGCGCGACGGTGGCGGCACCGTCAGGGTCACACATTATGCGCGCGTATATTATAATATAATAATAATAATACTATAATATAATATTATAATAAAGTTGTACCTATTATAGGTAGGTATGCATCGCACACGCGACACATACCTGCACACCACACTGGTACGGAGTGGGTGTGAGTACATAAAATAATAATAATAAGATAGTTCCTCCTATATTATAATATTGTTTATTAATAATAACGAAGCAAGTAAAGCGTGCGGGGGTGTCGTCTACTGCGAGGGGAGGAGGGTGCAGCCAGGTATGATACGAGGCGAGTCGGATGCATGAGTGGGCGGTGAGCGGTGGGCGGGCGGGCGTATGATTATTATAGCGTAGTTGTCGCGTCGCTGCAGTGACGTAGTTTGACGACCGTGTGCACTACATAATTTTATATACCTGGAATTCGATTCCGGTATGATGTCGTTGACGACCACGTAAATCATCGCACCCGCGGCGAACGCCAGGGCGTAAGGCAACAGCGGCTTGATAAACGAAACGGCGAATATGCCCACGAGTCCGGCGATCGGCTCCACCATGCCGCTAAGTTGTCCGTACCTGTGAAAAAAATATATATATAAGCACAGGTCACACAATAAAAACAATGTTATGTTAATATATGAAACATTATATTGATGACGAGAGTCGTCTCGTTATAGGTGTCGAGACTCGAGATTGACTGGTGGCAAACAACAGTATTCTACCCCACACCCTCCGAACACAAAAAAAGCTCCGATTTTATGTGCTGCAAAATAAACACTTTAAGAACAAACACACACACGCGCGAGCGCGTCCATATATAGAAGGTATGTGTGCTATACTGCTATATAAACGGATTTAACACCCCACGAGTTTGATAATAGGTCAATTAACTTTATAATACCGACCCTCGGACGTTATTACTGGTAAGAAAAGTTAATTTGCTGCGTCGCGCGTAGACGGATAAAACAAATTGATAATGGGCGATTGGGGAGTAGGACACGATTTATTTTACTTGCAAATCGAGGGTATGGAGTATATATAGTCTGACGCGTATATAGACTACGTTTTGTATAGGTACTAACGTACAACGTTCACCCTCAAATCTCTCTGCAGGAATATACAGTATACAGGGTTAAAAGTGTCGATTAAATATTTGATAAGAAACGGGAACAGTAAACACCCGAAAAGAAAAAGCTGAAACGACATTCAAAACGTTTCGTAGCACTGTGAAATTTATAAATACAAAAATATTTGATACACGGAGGTACCTATTGTTGGTTTTTTATACGTATATACAACACATCACGAATTCCCCTCTATGGCCTGTAACTTAAGTTAACAATAACAATTTTAATAAATTCGTTTTTCATTTTGCGTATTAAGACTATAGACGATTGTTATTAATTATACACGTAATCTGGTAATTATACAATACCTATATAATACCGATCTATCGAACTAATAAATTATTAATGACATGTAATTCAGATCATTCAGTAACGCATTACATATACACACGAATATAGGTAGGTACTGTTAATATATACTTATATTATATATTATAACAGAGCAATGAACTTCCTTAACTGTTACCTAATCAACAGTCTATATACTACACTGATATTATTGTGTTTTTTCATTCGTTGTTCGTACAACATAAATATGATTTTAATTCATAAATCTTTTGATACAGCAAAATGTATTTAATACATAAGTATATTTCTTTTTAACGGTTTTTAATTGGACCATATAGGTACCGATAGTAAAATATCACGAATATTTTTTTTACTTACGATAATATTATAATGCAACACAAAAAGTTAAGAAAAAAAGAAAAGAAAAATTATTAAATTCATTACAGTCTTTTTATTTTCATCAATGATCAATATAAAAAAAAACTAAACAATCAAATAAAATCATTCATACTCTTAAAAAATACAATTATACGTTATATAATATTGTCCTTATGTTACATTTTTTTTGTATAGTTACATAAAAAGATTAAATCGAGATTAATTTCGCTGTATAGACGTTATATACGTTTGGTGAGACAAAATTGAACAGATCTATTTCGACTAAAAAATTGACATTTCTGTCATAGCCCAAACCAGATAAAAATGGTTTCATTTTTGTCCAATCAGATAACTGTCCTTTCTGTTTTCGCCCAAGGGGCCAATTCTTAAACAACATCCGTAGTTCCGTATATGAATGTTATTTGAATTTATATGGGATTCGTATATAAGAATCCCGTTTAAATATGGGCCTCCAAAACAAATTTAACGATCTTATTATACATACAAACTTTCTCGACATGAATTTATAAAATGTACAAAATACATTCGGAAAAACAATTTGAAATAAACTATCGATTTGCTTTATTTATTAATAGTATAAACATAATTTTAAACTTGTATCAGTTATATGCTTGTCTATAACTGCTATTAGAATTTAGATTTATATATTATAAATATAAAACTAAAAATTAACTATTTACCTATTTTCATAATTAATAGTTTAGTGAGAAATCGTCGAATCTGTTTTTATCAGGTTTGTGTGAAATAGTACAAAAAAGCGATTTTGAGCAAACCCGGTCGAGCTCATATAACATATGTAAGTACGAATATAATTTGATAATATTCGTATTCCCATATTTCAATATAGTATTAATGTTCAAATTATTCTTCAATGTGTTCAAAAAATATGTTAAATATTAAAATATGTAATATTATATTATATTATATTCGAATTGTACAACGCATCCTAGTTACTTTCATACGTTTAAAATAAATATTTTTCAACAATATCTAGGTATTTGGTGATCTTATAATCGTTAAAATGGCTGAAATTAAGTAACGAATTACGAAGGCATATTTCTCCTCATAGAGGGTGATGTAGTCTTTACATTTTACCAATTCAAATAGAAATATTGTCATAAAGGCAATTACATAATAATATAACATGGAGAATATATTATCAAAAGTTATAAATTGTTTTGATTAAATGAGAAAAAATATTTTATATTAAAATGATATCGAATTATTAAGAGGACGCCACACCCGCATGTGTTGTCTCCGTCTTACAAACGCGTAACATACCAAATTACGTCCACGGAAAACAAACGAATCGGCATCAAAAAGTGGTTTTAGAGTAAAAATACCTATAATAAAACTTAAAGAGAACAATATTTCGGAGGGAACCTCATCGGGGTTTTGTATTAATCTAAATACACAGCTAGATATTGAAGGCACAAAAACTCATTTTTTTAAATAACCACAACTTTTTTAATAGTTAATATTTTTAGAAACGCCGATGAGGTTCCCTCCAAAATATTGTTCTCTTTAAGTTTTATTATAGGTATTTTTACTCTAAAACCACTTTTTGATGCCGATTCGTTTGTTTTCCGTGGACGTAATTTGCTATGTTACGCGTTTGTAAGACGGAGACAACACATGCGGGTGTAGCGTCCTCTTAAGAGATATCACAACGTTAAGCTGAAAATTCAATATTATCTCAAGGGTATATAATATACAAACTGAAATACCTATCGCTATAAATACTACCTATCGCTCTATATGTGATCTGTACAGTGTCAAAAGAGAAAATCGGATCAATCTTTTTTCTTTCACATACATCAACTATTTGATTTATGCTATCACCGTGGTATTTGTAGCAGCGATATACCAGACGGAAATCCGGATTTCCATAAACGCTACTTGTAGAATGTGTTCATTTTCCCGGTAGAGAACGAACCGCGCCTTGTAATTAGTGTGGTAATTTTCGAACATAAGAATTATAACGGTTTTATAATAAATAATATATTATATACATTAAATTATTATGATGTATTTTTAATGGTCTATAAAACTCGACTGCCGATTTCTTTGCAGGGCGGCCGAGGATTTGCGTCGGCGAGCATGACGGCGACGAGGAAAAAACTATACATTACATACGTACTATAAGTCTATAAACGCGCGTGTATAGTGTAGAAAATATATGACCATAAGGTAATAATAGGCATACTGGTTGACCGGCAATTCGAAGAATTCGATCTTCAGGTAGTCGAATTTGAGAGGAGGGGGAATTTTTAAAGGAAAGATCACTTACCAAAAGCTTTTCCATTTCGAACACCCGGCTGCTTGCAAGGGTAAGCTGACAGCCAATCCTTCCGGAAAATTTTGTATGCCAATTCCCATGGCCAAATTTCTGAAACAATAATTTATACGGTTCACATTAACATTGAATTTAAATAATTACAAAATTATTATAATTTTTGCAGTCAGTGGCGTCAAAGTGCATTTCACTGGTGGGGTGAATATAGAAACGAAATGTGATAATAATCTATATATATAACGGTTTATTCTTTAAATGTCCAAGACCCCACCTATAACCACCCCCCACCCTCCAAATAAAATTATTACACTGCTATAAGTCAACCACACAAGACGCGAAAATGTATTCGGCGCCCTTGCAGTTGGGGCTGTAGGGCTGTACATTACACAAACAGTGGCCTTATAAATTTTAATTGTTCAGGGAAAATTTTTCTTTAGCCCTTATACTCATTCCCCATTAAGAAGCACGTAGGTATACTACGTGTATATATGTCATACAGTTCTTCAACAGAAGGATCGTATTTGTGTTAAGTTTATCAGTTTATGGGTTCGTACAAAACGAATTTTACCATCCAGTATTTGTGTACGCATCGAAGAAAGCACGAAAAAGCGACGCAGAACTTTTTCTTCATCAGTTATTACCCCTCGGCGTTCTCGACATCATTCACTCATCTTTTTGGCCGTAAATAATGCATCAACCACAATAATGTCACTCAATAATTTATTAGTAATAGTACAACATACAATATGCCCGGTTGCAAACAATATTGATTGATTCAATGATTCAATACAATTTAATGGACCAATCGCAGGGCTACTAAATCGTGTTCCAGGGACCATTAGCTCACTACTGATTCATTCAATGTCTGGCGATTATAATACATTATACAACATACCGTGTTGTATACCGTTATTTACAATCCTTATCGTTTCGGCACACAAATGAATAATACCCTACAAATATGGGTGTAGGTACAGTATTCGATATAGAAACGGAAAAATATTGAAAAAGCATGTCATCATACAATATAATATGTCCTACATATTTAACGATATCGTTATGACGGTGGCGCTGCGTACGGCCTACGTCTATAAAGCAGACGACGGGGTACCGGGTTGTGGGCGCTGATGCGCGTACACACGATCGTGTGCGCGGCGTACATAGCATAATATATAGCGGAATGGAACCGAGACGTGTACAGCTATTCGGAGAATGCGCGGAATGCGACGGATAAAAATCTCGTTGCCCCACCCCCGGTTTCAACGTGCCCACCGCCGACGACCGTTCTCCAGACGCAAACACGCGCATTTATATATATATAATAATAATAATATACGTACAATATACGAGTGTATACACAATATGCGTCGTGTATTTCTACCAACACGTTTTTTTCTTTCCTTTTTTATTTTTTTCTATGGAAGAGCTTAACGGCCGTTTCACGAGGAGGAGGAGGGTGATAGGGTCGGTGGTGCCGAGGAACCCCTCGGGGGAACCGAAAGACGTACACACATTTTATATTATACGACACATGTATACGCATATTATACATTTATATTATTATGTATATGAATGAATGAATCAGAAAATATTCATTGAAATGCGCACTGCCACCAACCGTCGAGCTTGTGTGACGGCATGATAATAATAATAATGGTTTGGTATTATAATAGTTAATAATATTATATATAGTCTGGAGGGAAGGACCTAAAACCCCTTCGACTCGGGCAAAACACAGTGACGGTTAGATTATACTTCGTATAGACCACAGAGTATAGACACATATTTGGCGTGTACGCTCGTCGTTTCTGGAATAATAATATTATTATTATTATTTATTATCATCATCGTCTCCAGTGAGGAGGGGGGGGGGGCTGGTCGCGCCGTCTTCGTCGGCGGTGAACTGGGCCGCCGCAAAGTGCGCCGCACGCGCGCGTGTGTGTGTGACACACGTCCGTGTAATAATAACGGGTCGAGGACGCGGCGGCGGTGTTGGCGATGAGCGGAGACGATCACGGCGAGTAAGTGGCGGCGGCGGCAGAGTTCGAGTGAATGAACCGCGTGCGCGCGCATGTGAGAATATTATGTACTCTCGAGTCTTGGGGCGATTGATGTGTGTGTGTTCAACTTGTAACGCCGGAATGTCGAGAAAAGAAAATAACGAAGAAAAAATAAACTCATATGAAATGATGATGATGATAATGACAGTGATAACCATTCACCTCGAGATATTACGCGCGCACTGACATTTATGCTAGCGAATCAGTGATCACTGATCAACGTTTATTCATAATAAGAAAGAATTCTTTCAGTTGCATAACTGTACGTATTTAGGTACACTTGCTTGCACGGGCCTGATGTACTCATGTAGAACAAAATCGAATGGACTCCTGGGAGGTGCTATAGTAGCGATGTGAAATTCTAGACAATTCTAAATATTTTGTTGGTTGTTCTCGTTCAGAACACACAGCGTGATCGGACCACGATCCTCGTCCCTCGAGATAACTGGGAGAATTATGGTTTGACGTTTGACTGTCATCGTCTTTCAGACTTTCTGTCACGTACGTTTACACAATTACACGCACATACTTAAAGGGCAAGCGACCACTACGATTTTATTAAATTTGTGATTTATGGAAAGAAAACAACATTTGGCATTGTTGCAGTTTTTTCAAATATTTTTCATTCAAATAATATTTGTTTTTTTAACATCGAATAACGTCTCATACGATGTTCTGTTCTATTGTACTGTATGACTACTTGATCTGTATGAACATTTCCTCGACACCCTCTACGGCGTGTGTATATTAATTGTAAGTGGTTTATAATAAATATCAATTTACATTAAAATAAATATTTATATGTATATTTTAATACGAATTTCAAATTCAATCTTTTAAATTATATTTGTCCAATAATTATCAACTCATTCTTTAATAAATTGAAAAACATCTCATTCAATATTAAAAACAACCAAATATTAAGAAACAGTCGTGCAGTATACTTGTTCTTGGACAATTTTTAGAATGTTTGAATACATTTGTCATTACTATTATCATTCAATGTATTTTTGGGGATGATATGAAAATATTTGGGAGCTTATACCCCTCTTCCCCCCATCCCATCACATGGGAAAATGTTTGCTCGTGAACGTAAAATTGATCACTGATATATTTTACACTAGTGTTGTTTATTATAGTTATTACTATTCTAGCTATTACTGTATAGCTTAGAAGGCAAATTTTCATTCAAGTCAAAGGGTCACACGCGTCGCACGAGTAAACGAACAAATAATAGTCTTTAAAGAATTCATTCAGTTACTTTTCACCGGAGATTTCAGAACACTCTTCCAATTAATAATAAATAATATATTATTGACGGTTAATCGAGCATTTGACAAGCCAATCAGATGTAACATGAACCCAACGACCTGTGTATAGTTTAATAGTAGTTTAATCACATTTATACGCTCCCAGTCGTGGTAATCTCATTTTTGGTGATAAAAAATTGTATGTTTTTAAATGTATATTGCTTGTATTCGAGCAGGCTGTAATAATTATGATTAAATTCTAAAGAAGTTTCGTTTATAAAGTAAGGCTTATGTATTTTTATATTAAATTATGACAATATTACAATATACTGTAACACACTAAAATAGACTACATAACAATAAATATGTAATGAATTCTAAAAAAAAATCAATTTAGAAAATGTAAATGAAACCAAAGTATTTGAATACGCCATAGCTTGTTCCACGCGTGGAGCACACCAAAAACAAGTTCACTATAAGATCTCAGATCTGTCGTAAATGATTGGAAAGTGTTTTAAGTTTAAGAAACTATAACAATTATATATGGATTATAAATTAAAATAAGGAATATATACTATCCTGCTATGCAAATTGAATTAAATACAATTTCTTGGGAATTTCATGTCCTTTTTTATGGTAGGTACTACACATTACGCATAGATTTGGAATGTTTAGATACACATTACAGTATACACTTCCATTTAATAATTTAGCCTATTTTCCAGAAATATAATTTATATAGTCCCTCGAAAATATTAGTTTATACCTAGTTATTAGTTTATTACTATATAATATTACCTATAGTTATAAATGTTTATAATAATTAGTATTTTAGCTTTACAATATTCAATCAATACGATCGATTTCCGTCACATTGTTTTGCCTATACATATACATTATGCTCCACGTGGGAGAGATATACTTAGGCGGGACGACATCTTTTGAATCCATGTTACACTATAAAACAAGTATTTATATTTTATGGATAGTATAATAACGAAATCGTTATAGTTGAGACGTCAGAAAATAAAATATATTGTTTTTATCCGTGGTTCCATCGAATTTTAATAATTTGAACTATGGGTACCTACTATAAGGTGAAATCATTTCTGTCACGTCCGATGTTTGAATATTTCTCTTACACGGAACTTTTTTTTTCCAAAGAACTGACTTAATTCGTGACTATAATTGTAATAACGAATGAAAACAAGTAAAACAAAAATGCTTTGAAATGTCACGTCCGGCATATACTATATATATGCGGCATGAGACTAGATTGTTTGAGAATACCGTTAACAATCCTATAACAAAAATTAATAATAATAACAAAATAGAAGTGAAATCATTTTTTAATAAATATAAACGAGTTGTGGGGATAAAATATTCACATCCGAGATAAATAAATGTATACTGCAGGGTGGGCAACCGTATTGTCCCGTATTGACTAAACGAAAAAAAAAAGTTACCGACTCTACGTCATCACGAAATGTAAACACGAAAAATACATCATGATATCTAAATACTAAGCATAGCTTTGTATGAGAACCATTATTTGTCTTTGACGCATGTTAAGGATTAAAATTGAGAGAAATATATAATATTTATAACTTATAGGTTGAACTGCAGTCTTTAAACACCATAATATTAATTATATAGACTCTGCAATGAAGAGGTCTTCGGTCTCATTTATATACATAGATTTTTTATTTTGTCCAAACTTTAATATAGATGGATAAATATAGGATTTCAAACTCTCATAAATAATCGTGTCTATGTTCTATTA